TCAGGAAGTTTTCTTGAAGTATTATATCCCTGATTCAACAGAATATTGCTTTAAGCTTGGGGCATTAGTATTTTATTTAAAAATAAATGCAGGGGGCAGCTAGGTGACCCAGTGGATAGAGCACTGGCCCTAGATTCAGGAGGACCTGAGTTCAAATGTGACTTCAGACACATAACACTTACTAGCTGTGTGACCTTGGGCAAGTTACTTAATCCCATTGCCTAGCAAAAACAAATAAATAAATAAATAAATAAATGAAATGCAAAATTAGTCCCCAAAATTATGAACAAGTATTTCAGAAAGCACCTATCATTTAAAAAAAGTGCTTTAACACTCAGTTTCTGTGGAGGCTTTCTCTTGTTTAGCTTTCTGTGCTTCTGCTGTATTTCCAGATACAACTACTAGGTTAGTTACACTGCTAGCATGCCCAGGTCTGTCCAGTTTTTCCTGAATGGACTTGGCAGTCCGAGAATGAGCATTTAAACTTTTTGACCTTGCAGAAGGGAATCCGCAAGTTCGGTCTGGTTTCACAGACAGTAAGTTTTCTGTTGTAGTTGAAGTTCTGCCAATGACAGCTAGAGAAGAGCGAAAGGCTTTGGGAACAGCTTCTTTAACATCACTTTCATCTTCTGTGTCTGTCAAGTGCTCTTTTTGCTCCGCTTGCATTGCAGCTTCAGATACAGTTAAAGGGAAATCTGTACTACGAGAGCGACAAATTTTTTTTTCAACTTGATATTTCCATTCCGTAGTCCACTGTTCAACTGTCGTAGGGCACACTTGGTCCATTATTGAACTATAGTCTGTACTCCAGTTATTAACTCCACCAATTAGCTTTCTTTCATGAGAAAACACAAAGCTTCTAGACTTCATAGATGTCTTTAAAGTTTCATCAGGGTAGTAATGTGTTACTTTTGTTTTTTCTAATGGGTAAGAAATAGCTCCTTCTAACTTTGTCCTTTCTACTTTTAATTGAGTATTCTGAAAATCTGATCTGGCCTGTCCATTTATAACATCTGTTTGATTTAAGCCTTGGGAAACAGTTTCATAATTTTTTGAATTTCCTTGCTTTTCATCTTCTTCTGTTGAGATACCAATATTTGGACCAGAGTTTGGCAAAACATCCTGTACGTTGTCTAATGTGATTTTACAGCAATCTTGTGTTGTTGATGTATTTGTGTTGGATATCATACGAAGGCTTCCCGGACGTTCTGGTACCAGATGCGTCCTTGATTCCTGACCATCCTTCTCTTCCTTCAAACGAAATGAAAAAGTTTTTTTACGCAATCCAGGCCCAGGTGACAGAGGAATGACACCATCCTCATAGACTAACTCTTCTCCATTGAAATGGTATCGATACATGCTATAGCCATCAGAACTATTGACACTGCTTTGTCTTAGGAGAAAAGTTACATCACATTCTGAAGATGCCCTGGAGCGTGTTGGTACCAGTTCAGACTTATCAATTCCTGCAAGCTTTTCGAGAGCATTCACCATTCTACTTGATAGTTCTTCTAGTTGAGAGAGCCGAAGGTCCACAGTTTGTAGTGAAGCTTTCATAAAATTTTCTCTTTCATTTACTTCTTCTAATCTCATTGACATACTTTCAACTCTGTTGAATAGAAAATAATAGATTGAACATAATAAAAGTCTAAAGAAGAAGTAATATAATAATGAGATTTTCAAGCTTTTAAAAATCATGCAATACTAAGTAGTCTCCCTGGAAACTATATGTGTGTGTATATGGATACACATAGAGATATAAAACTGGCCAGTAATTATTCTAAGGTACAGATGTTAAATTGAAGGAAAAAAAGCCTAGCTTTGACCATGTTAATAAATCAATAAACATTTATTAATTGCCTACTAAATGCCAGGCACTATGCTAAACACTGAGTATGCAAAAATAGCCAGAAGATAGTCCCTGCCTTCAAGGACTTACAATCTAATAGACTGTGTCAGCAATTATAATTTTGATAGCAAAATAAAATATAATAAAATATAAATTACTTTGAAATTCAGAAGACTGGGGAAAAGGTACTTTCAATTAATCAAATTTATATGGCTACATTTTCTAATAAAATAATGAAACATTTAGTTAGTTAGCTGGGAAATAAGAGTTTCTTTAAATCATTCACTTTTGAATAGACCAGTATTGACTTAATGAGGTTATATTCTATAACAAAAGGGGATCAGAGTGTTTCACTGTTAATTGTTTTTCCTCTAGAACCACTGGTGATTGCCTATAGAATTCTAATATTCCATAGAGCATAGTTCAAACACCACAAACGAAAATCATATGAGATGGATTTAACTTCTTAATGAGCAAAGGAAATGTACAGTACAAATTGTTTCTGTTCTGTTCCTGTAGACCCCAGGGACCACCTCTGCTGGGACTGAGGTTTTTCAGTGGCCCCAGACTGAAGCCTTCAGGACAGGAAGAAGAGCTCAATTTTGGAAGGGAGCCAAAGTAAATAGTTTGGGAGGGGTAGGGATATGGTAGTTAGCTGGGGAACCAGTTCTGAAAGCAGAATTAAATATCCAGGTTGATGTAAGGAGTAGAGGGAAAGACATTGTTAGGTAGAAATGCTCAATACTAGGTTAACATTTGGGGAACTGAGTATTGCAGAGTTCACACCGCATACATTTTCTTATTCTACTTAATCATTTTTATGTCTAGCCACCTGAAACTGGATTCACCTTCCATCTTTCTCTTTATTAGATGCGTATAGAGATTCTTTGTAGGCAGCTGGAAATGCTGATTTAGAAGCGAGGCCAGGACTGAAGATATACCCATGCTGTCAAGAAGAAGATGAGAATATAGCAAAAGAGATGTAGAAAGAATGGTTTTAGAAAGAGGAGGGGAACTGGGGTAGTATAATGTCTGTGAAGCCAAGAGATGACAAATTACCCCATGAGGAGAAGGTATTCAACAGTGTCAAAAGCAGCAGAGATATCAAGGAGGATAAGTAATGGAAAAAGGCCACAAGATTTGGTGATTAAGAGATCAATGGTAATCTCATAGAAAGTAGTTTACCTAGACTGGTTGAGGCAGAAGCCAGATTGCATAGAGTTGATAAGAAAGTGGTTGGTGAGGTAGTGGAAGAATCATGTCTAGACATTTCATTCATAAAGAATGATGGAACCACCACATTTGGACCCTAAAATTATAGTCTGACGTGTGCTAATAGAGGTGATAGAGATGACGCTAAAGAGAACAAAGATAGAGAAAGTAAATGGATTGGATCAAGTATATATAGAGAGGAGAACTGTGCTGGAGATTGCTACAGCTATTCGTTTTTTGTTCTCAAAGAGGTGATGCCATGACATGTAAGTGAATTGGATTTCAGTGAGGGAGGGCTATATAAACTCACCAGCCTCACTTTCTCTTCCAGAGCCATCTGTATCCAGTGGCCAGATATAGAGCAGGATTACTGAAGATGGCCCAGGATGCAGTGGGGGACCTTGGCCTTTTCAAGCTGAGGTCTGTAACAGGTCAGTTTGACTGACACTTCAATTTGATTGAGGCAAGGCCTATTCAGTGATTAAGGCTTAACAAGAAATGAAGCAAAGACTAGCCTCTTTAAAACAAAAATTTAGATCTGGGAGGGGAAGATCCTCAGGGTTTCTGTCCAAAACAGAAACAAATGCTAGTGCTGAAAGTAATATAATTGTGAAATTGTGCAGGGACCTATGTACACAGTATCTGAAGGGGGGAAGATAGAAAAGGCATGGAAAAAAAAAATCAAGGACCTTATTATTACTCCCAAAAGGTACCAGAGACCATAAAACAAATATCAATCTATATTCCACTCTCTCATCCATGTAAAATCTTTATAAAAATCTAACAACAGAAATAACCCTGTTGAATGACCCTCTGATAAGAAACATCAAATTTGTCATTAAACAGGAGGATGTATGTTTGTCAAAGCCACTTTTATTGTGATGGAGGAAATTCAATGAGGGTTTGTCAAGTCTTTCAGATGCTACTGTTTTATGCTGATTGTATCAAGTCCCAAAGTATTATGCAAGATCTGTAATCATTGAAAGGAGCTGGGCTGTCCATCCACATGAGAAAGATTAAGTGGATAAAGAATGTCTGTTGCACAAAATTTAACTTGCATATGGTTGAAGACCTTATGGAGCTTGTCAAACCATATGTCTATCTAGAACAGACAATACAGAGAAACAATGAGTTGGGCCCTGAGTGCTAAAGGAGAATGATAGCTGGCTGGATTATTATCAGGAAATAACAAAGTTTTTCCCATGAAAGTTAAGACCCATCTTTTAAATGCTAATACTTCACTGGTGTCTCTCTATAGTTACAAGGCATAGAATACCACTGACTCCAAAGAACTAAAAATGAGTTATCATACAGAGGGTGTGATAAGTATGAGCAAGCTGCAACACATAACTAACAAGGATTTTGATGTCATCAAAGAACTGTATGACAGGAACAGAAAGCAGACAGGTAGTGTGGCAAAACTGAGAATAAGAGGTGGGCATCCTTATGGTGTTGAGAAAAAGTAAGAAAGATCTTTACCATGTTGTGTGCAGCCCTCCCACCACCATAGCAAACTTTTGAGAAAAAAAATGGATGAGTTGTATGGGGTAGATAAGGATAGATGGGTTACAAACTACATCTTTGGAAGAAATTGTAGATTCAATGAGATCACAGGTTCAGTTGAAAGGTTATTGGGATTTTTGTAGAAAAAAACCTGGATGACTAATTTCTGACATAATGTAAGGAAAAAAGTTTGCTTTTGCAGCAGGTTGTTCAACTCAAATAGTCCTCTCTCAGTTCTTCAATCACTTCATTCTTCCTAAGGAATATAAAACTTCATGTCTTTTTTCCCCAATAAAAAGAAGGAAATTTTTTCACCCTTCTCTTTAGAATAGGAATTGCACTGCCTCTCTTCTCTTTTTCTAATACTGAGAGATATTTGTTTGACTTAAATTTTCCTACTGTCACTGAAGTTATTTGTTTTATTTGTCTTTTCCAGGTTGCCCCAGAAATAGCTTTGGATTATATTCAGTGACTGATTTTACCTCTACTAACATCCTACTCCAATACTATTCCATGGAGGTTCTTATGCTTGAGGGGCATCACTTCTGGTATGATTCACAAACTGGGATAATAGGGAGCATAGGACCTGAGATGGACTGGTCCAAGACATACTTCAGTTAAGAGAGATCTATCACCAGAACGATAACAACCAGGGGTTAAAGTTTTTGGTCACAGCCACTCAAGACACAACATCTACCAAGGTATGTGTACCTGTGATTGGCCAGTGGAGGGAACATCCCCAGTGTGGGAGAACTAACTTTTTGTTTAGAGTCTGAAGCTCTGCTACTCCTGTGTGACCTTGAGCAAGTTACTTAACTTCTATGACTCTTTGTATCTTTATCTGTAGGGGGCTGCTGAGGTTTTTTCTACCTCTGAATCTATGATCCTATGAATGCAAGTACAGATCATTTGAATTATTAAAGTAACTAATTATTAATTGGTTAAATTGTTTAAAATTATTGAAATTATAAAAAATTATTAAAGTAAGTAGGTAGTTAGGTAGTACAGTAGATAGAGATCAGACCTAGAGTCAGGAAGACTCATCTTCCTGAGTTCAAATCTGGTCTCAGACATTTAGTGGCTGTGTGACCCTGGGCAAGCCACTCGACCCTGCCTCATTCCGCATCTATAAATGAGCTAGAAGGAAATGGCAAACCACTCTAGTATCTTTGCCAAGTAAACCCCAAATGGAGTCACGAAGAGTCAGACACAAATGAAAACTGACTGAACAACCACTGTTTTAAAGTAATAATGCCCCATATAATAGAACAGAACATTTGAACAGAAAATAAGCTTGTTTTCTCAAATCTGCTTTCCTCCCTTGGAGAAAAAGTCATATATTTAAAAAGTATACTGTGTATGTGTGTGGAGGAGGGGGTAAGGAGGGAAATGAACCTCAAATAAAACTGAAGTTATCTTTTGATTGTAGCTGTTTACATCATGATTTAATGACCTGTTTGTTTTTTTCAAAGACATAAATTCTGGATTAGTTGCTAAGTGTTGTACTAGTGTCAATGAGTCAGTCAACAAGCATTAATTAAGCACCTAGTATGTGTTAGGCACTATGCTAAAACACTGGGAATACAAAGAAAGGCTAAAACATTTGTAACATGTTTTTCTTCTCCTTTGATTTTACCTAGGTGAAATGAGCCTTTATCAGAGCCACATCTATCCAATTCCTAAAAATTTGAAGGGATATCAACCAAGTGGCCTTTCCTCTGAATCACAAGAGTGGTTTGAAGAGGATTTTCTTTCTTTCCCTCCCTTATAGTTGCATTGACTTCATAGCCTAAACTTCCCTCATCTAACCTAAGAGTTTTGAGAAAAGCATTAGGGAAATTTTTTTCTAACCACAAAACACATGATTTCCCATGTGGCAGTCCTTTAGAATAATTCCTGAGGTCTAGTCTTCCCCATTCTTTTAGATCAAAGGAAACCAGAAACAAATGAAAACTATGCACTTAACAATGAATTTAACTTTAAACTTCACTTAATTTATAAGTCGATTTCCACCCTCAGTTCCTTGTGTAGATCTTCTACTGAAATCCTTGGACAGAATGCCCCATAGTTGAATCTTGCAGAAGATGTTAAAGTATTATTTACACAATCCACTTCAAAGTAATAACCATTGCTTTTACTTTCTGACTTCCTAAAGTGATTCAATGATTAACAGGTTGAGCTCTGGATTTTTTCAATTTAAAAAAGGATATACCAACCATTCTGGAGAGCAGTTTGGAACTATGCCCAACGAACTATAAAACTGTGCATACCCTTTGATCCAGCAATACCACTGCTATATCCCAAAGACATCCAAAAAAAGGAAAAGGATCTATTTGTACAAAAATATTTAAAGAAGTCTTTTTATGGTGGCTAAGAATTGGAAATTGAAGGAATGCCCATCAGTTGAGGAATGGCTGAACAAATTGTGGTATATAATTGTAATGGAATATTATGGTGCTACAAGGAATGACAAAACAGGATGATTTCAGAAAAACCTGGAAGACTTAAATGAACTGATGCATAGTGAAATAAACAGAACTAGGAGAATGTTATACACAGCAACAGCAGTATTGTTCAGTGAAGAACTGTGAATGACAGCTATTCTCAACAATACAATGATCTAAGACAATTCCAAAGGACCAATGATGAAGCATACTATCCACCTCCAGGAAAAAAAACCGATACTGATTAAATACAGACTGGAGCATGCTATTTTTCACTTTTCTTTCTCATATTTTTTTTTCTTTATTCAAGTCTTGTACAAAATGATTAATATGGAAATGTTTTACATAATTGCACATGTATAACCTACATCTGCTTGCCATCTCAGGGAGGGGGAAAAAGAGGGTTGGACGGGAGGGAGAGAAAGAATTTGGAACTCAAAACTTTAAAGAAAAATGTTAAAGAAAAAAATTTAAAAGGATATAGTCTTATACCTTACTCAGGTCTGATAATATTTGGTTGTTATTTAATTTTACTTTTTCCCTTTAGTCCTTGAAGGTGAGAGATGTTAGCCTGGCTTTGCCAACTGAAATGAGCAGTCATATTTTAAAAGTCTTTAGAATCAATTTAACATTTTATATTTGATTTTAAAAAAACCTAAAGAATAATTTCCTATATTGAATTCTGTCACCTTCAGCATTAGATTTTTGATGAGTCCTCATAGGTTAAGGACTAAGCAGGTCTACCAACTCAATTTTGCATAAATCATTCATGATCTGTCACTGGTCAATAATTTTTTTTATCACCATCAAGGAAATGTGAGGTGTGAAATGACTAGAAAGTCTCCACAGTCTTTTGCCTATATCCTGACCCACCTTTCTTCCTGGTACTTAGTTTAAATGTGATATATCTAAACTTTTAAAGTGTTTTAACATTTAAAATATTTTCTATATTAAGGAATTTCAGAAAAACCTTCCATTTGAGTTACATTCAAGTATATTGGTATATAAAGCTATGATAATGTTTGTAGTAACTTCTAAGACTATATATAAACTAATAATTCAGTATTTTGATTTATATTTTCACTGTATCAGTTCTAAATTCATATTCTCATGGTAGGAACTACAGCATGTCTTTTGTATGTGTGTGAAGCTGAGAACTCTAGAGTCCTATAGTAAGCCTATTATTAAAACTTGTTTCATGTACAATCACCTTTTCATGTGCAATGATCTTAATTCACCTGCAAGGCATTCTATAAATTATATGGAAGCATTTCCTTAATGACAGGGCCAAATGTCAACATAAAATAACATATTAGTAGGACAACTAGGCCCAGATGATACCTGAAGAAATCCATGCTTTACGATCTCATGGCTTTGTGTACTTGAGGTCTAAGACTATTTCCACCCTGCAATTATGTACCAGATTTGTAGACAGTAATGTCTCATCCACTATAAAATATACAACTTGGCTATTTTTGTTTCTTTCCATTTCCTTATGCAGGACTTGCCTCTCCGATTCTATAATTGTAGTTTTCATTTGTTCAAAACTAAAGGAAGTCTAGTAGTTAAAAAAAAAGAAAGAAAAATTTTAAGCATTGAAACCAAAATACAACTTGAATTTCTTAACTTCTCCAATCCCCTTGAGAAAAATGATTATTAAATAACCAATTGTTAAATTGGGGATATCCAGAATTTTTTCCCTTCCTCATTTGGGATTTAGTTAGGCTTAATTCTCTGAAGGGCAGGGCTGGTGATGAGATGAAATCTGGAGTTGTTTCCCCACCCAACTAGAGAAACTCATAAAGAATTTAATCTAAGGTGAATTCTGTTCTACTCAGGCTTGAGTGGAGATAGATCCTTTATCTAGATTGCCCAAGACTGGGGGTGATCTAGACGTAAATGCCATAATCAAAGTCATATCTCCTAGCCCCTCATTAGAATAGGCCTACCTCTTATTGTAATATTCATTATTCTCATTAATTGTTAACCAATCAGAGTTGACTACACCCTCTGGAGCACCCATTCTTCAAAGGATATATAGGCGTTGAATGGGTTCCATGAGGTGTCTTTAGCATGCAAGAGTGCCACTGACCCTTTTTATTATCTACTAGGATGATAAAATGATTAATTATCCAGAAATTATGTCTTTCAAACTTTTTATATGTCATACCCTTTTACTTTGTTAGATAATACAGTTAATCCCTTCCACATTGTGACTTTCCCACATTGTGATTTTGATATATCACAGGTTGGCAGTTTTGCAGAAGCCACAGATGACACACAAAGGCCAGCAGACAATACAGAACAAGTTTAGAAACTCAGAAATGCATAAAATATATGTATAGTATTGTATGGTATTAACATATTCTGTCTTTTGATACCATACTACTTCAGACTTCTTCTCTGGTATGAAGGGAGGGCCAAAGAATTTTACATGGACTTTCCAGATAGCAGGGGTGTTGTGCCCCTAACCCGCAGGATGTGGAAGGGATAACTATATTAAATGGCAACTAAGAGAATCTTCATCCTGATTGCTTTTGATTTATTAGCAGCTTTTAAGATCAAACATTACAGATTGGTTTTAACCAGTTTTAATCTGAAATCCTTTTTCTGAGAGGAAACAAAAACAAGTTATCTTAGTAAATATTAATTCATTAAGAAAAGTGCTAAGGAGAGGGGAATGGGAGAGAGAGAACATGCACTTTTTTTTTGAGTGCTTAAATTACACTAATAATATCTGAAGTATATTTAGTGTTTTAAAGTTTACAAAATGATTCTTATTTGACTCTTACAACAACCCTGTGAAGTAGGTACTACAGGTGTCACTATTCCCATTTTACAGCTGAGGAAACAGGCTTAGAGAGATCAGGTACTTGAACATGCTCACATGGCTGGAAAATATGAGAAATAAGATTGAAAGACAATTCTTTGTTAACTCTTAGTCTTCAGTGTTCTGTTCACTATACTACTCTATCTGTTATTCATTCATTCATTCAACGATTTATTAATTAAATTCAATTAAATGTCTAGGCATTGGGGAAGATTTAAACAGGATCATTATCCTTAAGGAGGTTGCATTTTATAAAACAGATGAATAATACAAATTAGAATGTAGATCCGGTCCATAAATTGGAATATAAAATGCTATAATCTCAGATGAGGGAGCAATTGCTTATAAATAAAGCAAATGTCTTCTTTATACGTCACTTCAGTATTTGGCTACCAGTTTACCTCACCACTCCATTTGCTGCTTTTATCCTAGGCAATTTCAATATCTGTATTTACTGCTTTTCAGATTGTGACAACAGTCTTTTACTCATTGTCCCTACAGATGTCCATAGCATATGAGCTATGTACCTGTATGACAATATCTAACCTCTTCATTCTGGGGCCATAGTTCGTTCTCTCTCTCTCTCTCTCTCTCTCCCCCCCCCGGCTCTCTCTCTGGCGCTCTCTCTCTCTCTCTCTCTCTCTCTCTCTCTCTCTTCTCTCTCTCTCTCTCCCCCCCCCGGCTCTCTCTCTGCACTCTCTCTCTCTCTCTCGCTCTCTCTCTCTCTCTCTCTCTCTCTCTCTCTCTCTCTTTTTCTTTCTTCCTCTCCTCTCCTCTCTCTCTTCTCTCTCCTCTCTCTCTCTCTCTGTCTCTCTCTCTCTGTCTCTCTCTCTGTCTCTCTGTCTCTCTCTCTGTCTCTCTGTCTCTCTGTCTCTCTCTCTGTCTCTCTCTCTCTCTCTCTTCTCTCTGTCTCTCTCTCTCTCTCTCTCTCTCTCTCTCTCTCTCTCTCTCTCTCTCTCTCTCTCTCTCTCTCTGTCTCATATCTTGAACTTGAAAGGCTTCCCTGCTTCCCCACCACAAAGTACTCGCCTTCTATTCTTTGCACTCTACCACAGCCACAGAATTAAAACCTGCCCAATCTAGCTAAGCTTCACTTGACTCATTGCCCAACATGGGACTCCACTGTTACCTACTAAATTGAAGCCGCCACTAACAACTTAAAAGTCTTTACTCTTTTAATTTTTACCTATAACTGTTACACCAACACATAGCTCCCATAGGCCATATCCGTTTATGCTCTCAAGCTGAAAGATATAACTGCATAAAGTCATGAAACCATACTGACATGGCTAATAGATTCATGCTATTATTCATTCCTTGTCAATTTCTGGAACACCCCACAATAACTATTTCAAACCTTCCAAATTTTATTTAAGCCTCACTTTCCTCTCCTGTCACCTGGGCTTCTCTGGGCATGGCCAGCTCTGTTAGCATGGAGATCCGTGATGAGTCTTTGGAGCATGCTCATTTTACCTAACATTGAGCCTACTTCATCTCCTATGATGTAGGTGGGATTAGCTTCCTTTGATTGGCTGCCTGTGTCTTTAAAGCTGGTGAGACTGAGTTCTTCTCTTTCTGCTGCTCTCTTATCAGCTGTGTTCAGACAATGAAGATCATAATTCACACACAGCGTGGGCGCCTTGAATTGAACCAGAGAAAGGAAAGGATTTTCCTTCCCCTGCTCCCTCTCTTTTACATTCCCTACCCCCTGAGAAATGGGTCTAGGGATATTTGTTTCTGTGGCATGCTGTTTATCCTTCTCAGTTTCAGATGCTAGAGGTGATCCCTATCGAATTGAGAGTTCAAGCCATGATGACTTAAGATGGGCCAGCTTTGAATCCCTAAGAAGCCGGGGGTCTGGGACTCAACTTGGACTTGGAATTGGAACTATGATCTGTAAAATTAGATCTACAATATGAATCTAAGCATCTTTCTTTCTCCAGAGACTGAGATGTGAAGGGGGAAGGAAGATTATGCCTTCCACA